AAGCAGAAAAGGTCAGATAAGTTGATATTAGGTGAAATGAACCCCAAGATAAGTATTAAAATGTTTTTTTCTTTCTTGAGATTTTTTCTAACATATTTATGATTTCTTTGTTGTTTTGTATGTCCCTCCCCCATGGTATAAACCTGCTTTCATTATTTTTGATGTTGGTATAATTTGTGGAGGGGAAGGGCAAAAACAAACCGTTTAAATAAGGATACAGGTGGACCCATTGCAACAACAAGATGTACAAGTCTTTATGTCAAAAAACGAACTTTACAACTTTGGCTGGGGGAGGGGGGTGGGGTGGGGGAGGGGGGATAGATAGGAAGGGGAAACAAAGAAGGAGGCAACAATGCTTGATATGCACCCATTACCTTGCCCATGTAATTGTAACTCCTCTGTACGGTATTTTCACAATAAAAAAAAAAGAATTGTGAGAAAAAAAAGAATAAACATGCAGAACTATGTTAATGATAATATAGCTGAACCTAGTGACTTGGACTTATAATCCTAACTAATCTGGAGGTAGAGATCAGAAAGACTGAAGTTCAAAGACAACCCAGGAAAAACAGTTAATGAGAACCTATCTCAACCAATAAAAAGTTGAGCACAGTGTTGCATGTTTGTCATCCTTGCTGTGGCACAGAAAGACAAAGTGTTAAAGAGGAGGCCATTGTTCTGACTCTTTTTGGCAGAGAGAGAGAGAGAGAGAGAGGGAGAGAGAAAGGGAGGCAACAGAAACAAAGAGGTAAATAGACAGATACTCTATTTGAAAAATAGCAGGTAAAAAGGGTGGCTCAAGAGATAGAATGCATTCCCAGCAAGTACAATGCCCTACATTCAAATCCCACAACTGAAAAAGCAAACAAGAAAATAACAACAAATTCAAGCAAATGTAGTTTTTTTCTAATAGCAATATAAATTATTTTTGCTCATTTCAAAACTGTATCTCTTTAATAAAATTTGGTCATTGGGCCAAATATTGGTGAAAAACATGATTGGTCTTTTGAGCTTCTTGGGCATTTCTTCCCTAGTAGGAGTGACACTCATTTTCCTCCCAATTCTATGGTTAGCTCAGAATCTTAAATATATTAAATGTCTTGGTTGTAGTAGAGACAGTCAATATAGCTGAATTTACCTGTCGGTAGTTATCCTGAACTGAAAAAAATTTGCAATTTTTTTCATGATTGACTGAGGATTTTAGTCCTGTACTTTTGAGTCAAGATCCAATGATGATGATGGTTGAGAATATAGGTATAAGAGACATAAAGACTTGTGTACAAATCCTCACTCAATAAAACATAATCCAGGGCAAATCAACTTAACAAGCTTCTTTCTTTGTCCAGAGAATTGGGATAATAAGGAATAGGTCTTCTTAAGCATACAGAGCCGATCTTTTCAACCCCTGTTATCTACAGTAATGAGTTGGGGGAGATGTTTCCAATTCTAGTGTTAAAGTGGACATATATACCTTGCTCTGAGTGAAAAGTTAAAAATGAAAGTATTTGCTTTGAAGAAAATTGCAACTTTTCTGAATTAACTGACCCAGATTGTCTGTGGCACCTTTATTCTGCAATGGGATTTAGATCTCAGAAAACAAAGCTTCAAGAGAAATACTAGCTTATTTGGAAAATCATCTATCATAATTCAGCCTTCAGGTATTTGATTAATGAAAATAAGTAAAACATTATGTAACTAGTAATATGAAATGACTGTAACTTAAAAGATCTATAATAATTCACCAAATGATAATTTCAAATACTTAAATCATATAGTTTAGAAATCCAATTTAGAAATATAGCTCAATTTCATGATTAATGATCATTTTTAAAATAATCATAAGTTCACCTTGATTTTCTTCACAAATGGAAAATTGGAACTATGGTTAAGTATATTATAGAATAATAATGTCTTATTTTTCTTTTGAATAATATTAGAAAATTTTAAACTACCTATTAGTGTACATTCTCAGAAAAATATTAAAGGAAACAAAATTAGCTCCAATTAAAATGTTGTATCTTCCTTAGCAATTAAAATGTGTCATTTTACATTAAATATTTTATAACTGCTCTTTATTAGAATTGATTAAAGTGTTACAGTTTCTCAGCCTCTAATTTAAATTCATGTACATTTCAGGAAATTTTCAACAACTAATCTTTACCTGATGAGGTTTGATTAAAACTTACTCTTTGGTGTTGTACATGTGTAACATAGCTTCAACCATTATATTACCACTTGTCATATGCAATCAAGAGGAAAGAAATTCTTATTTGCAAATGTTTTGGCTTACATTTTCAATATCATTAAAAATTGGATTGGAGAGCAAAGGCTTCTATGACTATACTTACAGAAAAACGAAAACATCAGAAAAATGCATGCTACAAAATTTCATTACATTCATTTTCTATCATTTATTTTCAATTTTGTCATGATATTTAGCTAAACAACAATAATAGCAGCCCAGAAAATTTAAAAGTATCAAAGGATTAAATGAAACCAAACAAAATTGAAATGTCACTAACCCAAAGCATGCACTGTTCCTCTATGCTTGCTGGAGCTCTTGCTGGTCTTAACCACACGAACAGCATTTTCTTTGAACTGCAGCTCACAGAAATTTTGTAGAAATTTTCCCATTTCTTCTGAAATCGTATCCAGGTATGTTTCTTTAATGAATTTCACTGTTGAGGATGGCGCTAAAATTTCACATATCGTATTAAAATCCTCTTTTATCACTGAGTATAACTTAAGCATGGTACTTTCATATTCATGCACTATTAGGTCTAAATTCAAATCTCTGTTATAAGAAGGAAAGTAGTCCTCCAGAAGTTTTGTTAGCTGTTTATTCTGTATGTTTTGGTACTTGACAATAACTTCATTTTCTGGATAAAGAAACAATAGTTTTTGTATGCATTGATTTTTCAATAAAATTTTTTGCTGTGGGTTATTTATTTCATTATGTCTTTCTAATTTGCACACTAAGAACCGTCGAAGATGCAGTCTTACATCATCCCATATAGACTTTACTTCCACAGTAGAGTGATCTTCAACTGAATGAAGGGAATTCCTAGAGAGGGTATGGAAAGATATTCCGCTTAGAGTCGATGGGAAGCAAACATTGCTCTGGCAGTAGAGGTCACAAAGGAAATCCAGTATCATTTCTTCTTGATTTTGTTCTTTTGTCAACAAATCTTGCTAATAAAAGTAAATTATACCATTAGAAATTTGATCAAATCTAAGCATACAATAAAAAATTACTTCCATAGGCATGCACAATTTCACCATTTATTTCAATTAAGAATCAGTATTCTGATACGCTTCAAGATTTTTTTGCATTTGGAATTGGGTCAATGCAATATTTTAGAATGTTATATTTTATGATTTTTTTTAATTTTGTAAAGCTCAGTTGATTAACTATTTGGTCAATTAGACTTTTAGACATATAGGCTTTCAATAGCTTTCAGTGTTACCTACCTCTAATACAATCTGAGCTGGATGAAAGGTATAACTTAAAAATTCTAAATAAAAACCTTGAGTACAACATTCATTGAATTGTATTCCCAAGACAAAATAAATTCAAGATACTCATAATAAATTCCTGGTAGATAATTTTTATGCACAAATCAATGTACTTGTTATTATAAAACCCCAAATGAATATATACTGTTTAAAATCACTCTGAATAAGGCAGAAATCTTTAAATACGGAATGTGATTTGAGGCTACTAATAGCTACCATTCTGAGAAGTAAAATTTAATACATTGAAAAATGTCACCTTTCATTTAAATTCCTTTCTGAGAACCATGTTAAGAAAGATTTTACTTTGAAAAATTAATCCGAGAATATTTCTGTTCTCTCCAAAGAAATGACTGACTCAAAAAGGATAAAGATTCTCTCAGAATCGCTCCCCAAAAGATGATATAAAATTATTCCTTTATACTTTCTGTGGTGATAGAAAACAATGGTGAGTAAAATTATAAATAATAAAAGGACAAAATGGCTTTCTTTTTGGACTTAGAATTACACATATTCTTTACATGCTGACTTTCATACTTATATCTATTTCAGCTAATACTAAAATTAGTTTATATCTTGAAGCAGAAACAAGCTGATTACAAAAGAAATGGAAGCAAAGCCCAAGTGAATAAAAGTGAGTCTGTCTTTGAAATTTCTTACTGATGCCACAGGTACTATGTGTAATTGAGAATAACAAACAGTTCCAAGACTGATTCTTGGAATTTGCTCTCAGTCACTGTAAGCACAGCATACCAAATTTAATGTTCTATTGGTGGTAATTATACTCTAAATCTCTATGTTTTATTAAATAAAAAGTATTTTCTACAAGGTTCACTGGTTTATTCATAATGAAAACTCTGTGGCTTAGAAAAAGCCAATTTACACATAATTTGAAACATGCTTAAGTGAATTTTCAAACATCACATACAATAAGGCACCGAAGGAAGAATAGACCTCAAACTCATTCTCTTCTCTTTTTATTTGGGTGGGGGGAAGGGGTGGGGGGTGGGTAAAGCAGGGATTTGGAGGCAAGTAGTCCTGGGGTTTAAATTCATGACTTCATACTCAATAGGTTGTTCTATCACTTGAGCCATACCTCCAGCTCTGCTTTTCATTGGTTATTTTTAGAGATGGAGCCTAGTGAATTTTAATGCCTGGGCTGACCTCAAACCATCATCCTCCAACACTCGGCCTCCTGAGTAGGCAGGATTACAGGCATGAACTACTAACACCTGGCATATTTGCCTTCTTTCAAATACAGAACCAAAGTACGTGTAACTTTTCTGTACCATTTTTTTCTCTTTTCTCCTCATTTTCAGTTCTTTTGATACTTCTGGAAAAGAAATGTCCATAAACAGAGGGTAGGACATGTCAGCACTAAGGTCAATTTTGTGAGGTAAATGAATTATATTAGTGATTCAGCCTTGGGTTTAAGTCACTTAATAACTATAAATATTTGATCAAAGAATAATTAATTACAAAGACAAAAAACACATGTTTTCTGCATTTATATTTTTCTGCATTTATATTTTGAAAATTTACTGCAGTATAATTGTCAGAATGAGAAGCTGTTTCTACTTTAAATACAGAAATAATACAAATCTTCTATAAAAAATAGGTATATGAAACATGAAAAGATTGACACTTTTAGCCAACAGAAACTTGATAATAAGGTCATTTTAATCTGGATCTGTTTTCATAATGTGGTTTGTTCCTTAAAGCAATATCATCAATTATGTTAAAAAACAACAACAACAATAACAAAATTCTAGGTCTGGCACTAGCCTATCAGCATAATGAGTTTGAACAAAACTAAGGCGGCCTTTGCCCTGAAGTGAATAGAGTGACTTATGTGTGACAGATTAAAAGATAATTAAATGCTTTTGCTTTTAATTAAATGAGAAAGCATTATTACATCAATATTAATGAAATTCAATACACATGGCTCTTAATAGAAATTAAAGGAATAACTATTTCCATATTTATTCTTCAAGGCTCCACCTTCAAGAGATAATGGGTGAGAAGATTTTCTTAAAAGATTAAGGCTTCAGGGCATGTAGTCTTCCTTTCTCTTCCTTTTATTACTTTGTAAACATTAAAGGACATCTGTAATAATAGCAACAGCCAAGAACTATTTTCATATGATCTTTCTTCCTAAGCCATCTATAACCTCAAGATATTTTCCACATCTGCCTTAGTTAGTGTTTGATGTTCAGACAAAAATGGTGCCTTTTCCCCCCTAAATTAAATTAAAACCATGGCTTCAGAAACACTGCTTTCTAACAATTGTGTCATGCCTTTGGGAATCTGTTTTTGTAGGCTAGTCACCCTGGTAGGTGTAGGTGTAATAAAATAGCTGTGCTGTGCAAGGTTATAGACAGTGGCCAGCATCAAAGAATGAATAATGTAATAATTTTTAATCAATTAAAAATGGTTGGGTATACACTGCTGTCTTGATTGAGAAGTAGGTTGGGCATGCAGAGAATGAGACAAGATCACCTATTAGATATAATTGATGGAGATCTTATTATGCTTAATACCGGGCATCGAGAAAAGTAGTGATATGAAGGAAGAAGAAATATAATGAATATGAACTCTGGAAACAACTGCAATACACAATGATGCATTTTGTGTTATTGATATGCTATGTACCACAATATAAATCATCTAGGAATTATAGTATTTAACTTCCCTTTTACTTTTACTATGAGTGTATTCATAAAAATCACAGTGAAAAACTAAGTCGTTCACTGGATTCTATTGGACATATAGGAACAAAACTAAAACAATAGCTCTACACTTGGCAGGCTAATATTTTCACTGACATTTACATAGATAAATGGAATGAGCTGTACCCATTTACCCACCCCATTCCATTATAAAACAATGGCTATATTTTTACCAGTGTCTTGAGGAATTTTATTAAATCTCCATGGAAGATGGAAGGTGCCTTAGCTGTATTATAGTCAAAATCAGTTAGCCATTCCAAGCAGTCAGTAGTTGTTTGCAGCTGCACATCTGAACATTGCTTGTTAACTTTGGCCTGTATCTCTTTAATGCAATGTTCTATGCTATAAAAAAAAAAAAAAACCAATTATTTTGGTTGGAAGTAGGTAACAGCTTCATATTATAAAATGTTTACATGTTGTATCTTGTTGAACATCTATAAAATTATTTTAAAATTCCATGATATGACAATAATAAGGAAAAATATTATTGCTTGGTTGAAATGTGAAAGTTCTGATTTTCTGGCTGAAGAAAATACAATAGCAGAAGTTTTAAATATTTAATAACTTAGAGATGAGTTAGAAATTCTTTTGTGCTAACACTAATACCAAGCATAATAGAATATTAGCATTCTTAACAAGGCAATGGGTAAAGGGCATAGAAAAAATATTGTGAACATCAGAATATACATTATATACTAACAAGTGAATTACAACGCAAGTTATGGAAAAGTTTAATCAAAGGAATATTAGGAGTTCAGGAACAGTTGTAAAGGGCTTTTAGTTTTAAGTGTTGTAAAGGATACAAGCAGTGTAAAATGTTACTATAACTAAATATTTTGTTGCCATCCAACTCTATCCCAAAAAATGAAACATATACTGAAAATTTCATGAAAAACTGAAAGTAAATGAAGTGAAACACTAATAATAAGTATATTTCGATGAGAAAATTACATGAGGTTTAGATTTTACTTTTCTGTATTTCCTGTTTCTTTAGCAAAAACTAAATTGAGGAAAAAATATTGAACAGAATCTTGAATTATGTATTAAATTCAATTAAAACATTGGTCTGATAAAAAGATATATATTATGTAATTTCCCACATGTAATTAGATACATTCATAATTATAAACTTTTGCGAGGTAAACTGGTGACCTTTCACATCATGCCATCTATGGAGCAGTACGGATGTGACATATTACCACCACCTGATGGCAGCACATCTAAACTGCAAGAAAGCTTTTGTACAAAAGTGAGTGGCTTTGAACCTGAATCCCTTCATGCAAAATTGACAATTATAAAATTGACAGCAGCTTAATAGTATTAAAGAAAGCATTGTTACAAGTTAAAATTACTGTTTTGAAAGGACAATTGCTTTTAATTGCAGGTTCCATATGATGCAACCGCATAGTTTTATAAACCAAGCTCTGATTATTAAAGCTCATGTTAAATGAAAGACTCTTTTGATACTATTCATCAGGTATGGGTTGCCTCTAAAACATATAGTGTAAATATTATATACTAAAGTTTTTCGAGAGACTTCTGAGCATGAGTGAATTCAAACTAAATTACCTTGGAAAAAATAGAGAATCAAAGAGCCTTTTCATGAAAACTAGAACTTAGAAGAAAAATAATACCTCCTCTGGCCACAGGCCAGCTAATTTCCTGATGGAAGAGTTTAGGTACTCAGGAATACCAGTTCAATCTGACAAGAGATTGGCATGTGCTTTCCAATTTACGTAAGCACTTCCATGGACCAAGAAACACAATGCCCTAGGCATACACCTTGATTCCAGGGATCCTTTATCAAAGGTTTGCATTATAGCATCCTCATGTGTCTCACTCAAGGAAACCTAATAGACTGCAGCAATGTGAATTGGAAAGGCTCCCCAGTTAGTCTACCTAAATCTGCTTCAATCAGGACTCAGCTTTTAGGCTAATCTCTAACATCTGAATCTGGGTAGAGGCCAAAAATGACAATGTACAAATAGGGTAAAGCCTTCAGGAGACCTAGATATTTTAGTAATTTGTCTAAACACTGATAAAGGGATTAAGTTATTGCATTTCAAGAGACCCCCTCATTGAGATAAATTAAGACACTTGGGCTTCTTGTTAAAAATTATTTTGAAAATTATATTAAGTGAAGTAAGCCGGGCCCAAAGAAACATAGGTCCATGGTTTCCCTTATTTGCAATAACTAGTATATGTCTAGGACAGGCAGAAAAGGTCAAAAGCTATCTACATATGACCATATAAAATGATGAAGTGAAATGAACCCCAAGAGAAGGACACAAGTGTTTTTTTTTCTTTCTTGCTATTGGTTTTAACATATTTATAATGTACTATGTGATTTTTTTTTGTTTCTTTTGTATATTCTTCCCCCACGGAATAACCCGTTTTCACTGTATTTGATTCTGGTGCCCTGAATTTTGTATAAACATTTTTCTAATTTGGGGAGGGGAAGGGAAATAATAAAATGTTTAAATAAGAATACAGGTTGACCCATTGTAACAATGTGATGTACAAGACACTATGTTGAAAACAAACTTTACAACTTGGGTGGGGGGAGAGCCAGGGAGGGAGAAGTTGAGGAGGTGGGGAGAGGAGGGATGGTAGAGGAAAAACAAAGGAGGGGTAACAATGCTTAATAGGAAATGTACTCATTACCTTACTCGTTTAACTGTAACACCTCTGTACAGTATTTTTACAATAATATATATAATAAAAATAAAAATTATTTTGACAATTAAATGGCTGAATATCTTATCAATATGTCATTCAACATTGTCCATAATCTCTTTTTTAAAACTCATTTTATTGCTTGTCTAATTTTTAAACAAAGGGATATTTTTAATATTTAAAATGAATGTCATGCCTATCATCCTAGCAATTAAAGAGTTAAAAAGAGAGGAATCTCAAACTCAAGAGCCAGCCTAGATTACCTAGAGATTTCCAGACCAACATGTATTGTAGAGTGAGACCTTTCCTCAAACAAATAAAAAAGATGAATGTCATTTTAATATGCAGTCTAATAATTTATCTTGAGGTCAAATTAACATTCAATATTTATGGCAATGTTTTCAAGTGTCACATTTCAAATATTATATTCAAGTATGCATAAGAATTCATGGAGAGGGTAATCTGGGGAAGGATGTATTCTTGGATTCATAGATGTAAGATCTTAATCTAGGTTTTCTTAAAATAACACATCTAGCTGGGCTCTGGTGGTTCACACCTGTTATCCTAGCTATTCAGGAGACGGAGATATGAGGATCGCAGTTCAAAGACAGCCAAGGTAGGAAAGTCTGTGAGACTCTTATCTCCAATAAACTACTCAGAAAAAGCTAGAAGTGGCATTGCAGCTCAAGTGGTAGAGCACTAGCCTTGAGCACAGAGAAGCTCAGGGACAGGACCCGGGCCCTGAGGTCAAGCCCCAGGACAAGCAAAAAAATTAAAAAAAAAAAACACCTGCCTTTATTTTGCATTGTTTTCTATTTAACTGCAAATTGCTTCTATTTTTTTAGAACCAAGGTCAGTCATGAAAATATAACCAACCTGCATATTGTAAAATCCTAAACATTATGGTAATGACTGCAGTAGGCTCGCTTCCCTAATAGTCTAGCTTTACAAGTTAAGAACAATTTGATTTAGCAAGGACTTCCTGAAACAAGTTCTTTGCTCTATTTCTAACATTAAACCTACTAGAATAAACCTGACATCAACAGAGTGACTAAATGAACCAGCAGTTCACTTGGTAGAATCTAATCATGAAAAGAAAGTAGAATCGTATTTATCAACATGTATGTTGAAATATATGTAAATATAAATGGATGGTAAAATGTAAATACATGTATAAAATACAATGCCAATCAGGAGGAAGTACACAGTATGGTGTCAATCCTATAATAATTTGAGAATATGCCATATAATCCACATACATCACAGTATTATAAACACAGGCAGTGGAAATGTGAGAAATGCACTGGAATGATCCTACCCCACTTTCAGGCAGGGTGGGATGGAAGTGACATGCGGTTTGGGAGGGGATCCTAGAGAGACTTAGCTGGACTAGTAATATTTTATCCCTTAAACTGGACAGTGAGCACATGAGTACTTACCAGAATACTCTATCCTTTTTCCTGTGACTCAAAACTTCTTAATAAATTTTAACTCCAATGTGCTTTAATTATAATGAGGCTAAATTATCCAAGTTAAATGGTGTGTACAAGTAGATGCATTTCTGAGGTGCTGCGTATAAATCAATTTATAAATCATTTAAAATGTTGAGTATGCTTTTTTAAAGAATATTTGTGGTGATTTTCCCAATGTTTCTCTTTCATTTCTGTAAAACCTGAATATTGAATTGAAGGCATTATTTGATAAACATAAACTGAATGATGACTATGTGGTGGGCACAGTGTCATATATTGGGGACCAAACATATTCATCATCATATCCCTAAAGGATTGTGTATAGTGAGCGAGACAGACTTGTAAACAAATAATAATGCATTAAGACTTTAAGAGGTATATACAGTAGGCTGAAGGAGTATACAGAAAGGAGATGCTATGCCTGTGAGGGGTATAAATATTGCTTTTTAGAAAGAGATTGTATAGAGATTGTATAGAAGAATCACTGAACATAAAATTCTCTAACATCTGGCCTTAAAAGAATCCATTATTGATCCTATAACTTCAATGATGTCTCACTTTATAACTCCATTTTGGGATATTAAAAATATAAATTTATTTTTAAGGCCACAACTACATTTAAGCATATACATGTATCTGCATGCACAGAAAGATGCATTCTTACCTCCAAAATGATTGATGCCCTGAAAATAAAAAGTTGGCATTGAACAGTAACAACAGCATAAAAGCCTATTGGTTTGGGGCAGGTATAGTTGGGGGGGTAGGGAGAGAAATTAAGAAAAAGGGATAAAAATTATGACATATAATTTTGAAACACAGACTTACTGTAAAAGCTCTTGCAAGATTCAGAGTATTCTTTACTACTTAATCATGAAACTTACAGTTTTTGAGTGTTTAATTGGAGCTAAGAGTCTCACAGAGGCTGGGAATGTGGCTTACTGGCAGAGTGCTTGCCTAGCATGCATGAAGCCCTGGGTTTGATTTTTCATTACTGCATAAACAAATAAGGTTAGAAGTAGCAGTATGGCACAAGTGGTAGAGCTTTAGCCTGAGCAAAAGAAGTTCAAGCAATTCATCTCAAAGCCCCAGGACTGGCAAAAAAAAAAAAAAAGTGCCTCACAGAGACTTTTCTGCCTGGGCTGGCTTTGAACCACAATCTCAGTCTGCTCAGTAGCTAGGATTACAGGTGTGAGC